ATATATATATATGTATATATATATATATATATATATATATATATATATGTCTTTCCCGGGCAGTCAAGTAAGCTTCAGCGCTGAAATTTTGCCATTGGGTTCCTCGACTAAGTACCACCCCGATACCAAATTTCACTCACGTCTGGGTCCCGCATACGGGCACATGGAAATTTTGGCGAGAAAGCCGCTTCGGGGACCAGAAAAGCCAAAATTTTAAGAGGATGTTCCTTGTCCAAGTAAAACCAAAAGATTTCAAATTTAGCCCCTAGGTTTGTCTAGTCCTCGCAAACGGGTACTTAAAAGTTTTGGCGAGGAAGTTGCTCACTGAACACCTGGGTCATTTCTAAACAACGATCGTTCTACGGAAATTGTTCATTTTCCTTAATGTAAAATTTACGATAATTTATGGTAGCAAGCTCAGAAGGTAAGCGCAAAGCAGTAACCATTCATACAGTCAATGAACACAACTTCACTGCTTCAAGTTTAGTGCGAGAACGCATGATCGCACGACGAGCCTGGTATGTTCCAGCTTGGCGTTTTAAAACTGTTATCATTCAAACTGAAACAGCTGCAGAGCTTTCGCCAAAATCAGTGTATGTCCGACACAGTAGTACACGACTTCCTATTCCCTTTTTAAATAACTGTAAATGATTTTTCGATACAGTCAAAAAAAAAAAAAAAAACGCACTGTGAGAGATCGCCCGCCTTCTCTCCGCTCCCCCGTTTGGGTTTTTTGAGAAACCTTGATAAACGCACAGCTTCCAGTACTACAAACGAATATGTTTCCGTCTTGAACGAAAATTAACACGCGGATAACCTTGGAACAGACTGGGTATGTACATAATGAGTACAAAGTGAAGACAATCAATCATCAAGACCGCGCTGAGTGCCAGTGGGAAGCCTCTATCGTCAATAAAACCGAGTACAGTCAAATTAGGCCAGTTTGCCCTAGGCCCAGTTTGTACAGGTCGCTTCAACTATTTTCAGGCAACGTTTCTTTGGAAGCCATCCAAGCAATCACTTCTCTCTATGGCAGTACGTAATCCCTCCTCGTATGACTAACTGACAGCCTCAAACCCGAATACTGCAACTAACGACCTCAAACCGGAACTGTATGCAAAATGCGACAAACATGTAGAATTTATATTCTGAATGTCGAAAAGTAGTAGGAAATGCGGTAATATCAACACCGCGTTGGACTTGTTAATCTTTTGCTAGAGGTAGTAGGACCCTTGGTTTCTTGAGTAGGAGTAGAATTTTGGCAGTGGTGAGAGTGCCACGGCGTAGCAAATCAGCAAGTAATCTAGCGCCGGCTGGCGGTGCGAAGTGCGTTTTATGCATGATTTCCTCGCAGACTTTTATTGCTAACAGCACTTTTTTTCCCACCAGACACTTCTAGCTAAAAGAATTGAGACTGGCCACTACGACTGTCAGGAATTACTACAATGATTACCAATAAACACGGTTGAGGGCATGCTCAAAGATTCAGCACTGTGGATGATTCGATTGCGCAGTTACGCCAAATTTCACGTGAAGGAGACGTGAAAGTTATTTTCGCGTGAGTCTGTCTAAGCGTGGTCATGGGTCATGCTAGGAAAATTACAATACTCCGGCTGCTTTGATTGCAGAGTTACAACAAGTTCCACGTGTTCGTACGTAAGGAGGAACGTGAATTGGTTTTTACGCACGAGTGCTCCAACACAGTCGTGGGCCATGTTAAGCACTTTGTCTGTCTTGGCTGCAGGGTCACGAAAGGGAAAGTAGTGTTGTCTTTGCGCATCCCAGCATGAAAACAGTCCTGGTTCATGCTCGGAAAATTTTAGAGACCTAGCCGCGTCAATTGCAAAGTTGCGTCAAATTTTACGTGTTCTTATGTGGGGCGTGAGTGAGACATTCAAAAAAAACTTAAAAACTGTTTTATTTTCACGCCCACCTGGCCAAACGCCGCCGTCGACGCTCGGAAAGTTTCAGCCCTACAACTGCTTCAATTCCGAAATTACAAAAGTGCCTTACTGAAATTTCACGTATCGTACGTGAGATGCAGAGAGACTGGAAAGCTCAATTTACCTTCATGGACACATCAGTAGGTTATAAGCAACGTTACAAAATTACGATTCTCTACAGCTTCTCGGTCGGCCAATTCTTGAGATGGTACGATGCCAATTCAAACTTTGATGTGTATGTGTGTGAGACCTAGGGGCTCTTAAAGCTGAATTTAAAACAGTTGGGTTGGATACGGGCGAGGGGCATCTTCATGAAATTTCAACCACCTATGCATGGCTCCCAAAATCGCTTTCCTGCCAAAAATGCCTAACGTGCCCGTACGTGAGAACCACTGAAAACCATATGGGCATGAGCATCCATTTTGAGAATAGGAGTCCGTAAATAGGTGTAGATTAAGATGCCAAAGTTTTAGTCTTATAACTTTTGTAGGTCTCGAGATGAAAACTAGATATAGACGCAGATACACACAGACGACTCCTCGACAATGTGCATTTTTGTACTGCATAGATGCAAAAAACGCATAAAAATTAGCAGTAATTATTATTTGGCCTTTCTCTTGTCAAATTCTTACATTATTAAGAAGTCCAAGGGTTTTGAAGAAGACCATTTGGTCTAATCTTCCTTCATCGCCTTCAAGATAGGCTTATCTTGATCTAGTGAAGTAAATGTAGCTTCATCCTGTTTTGCATGTTCTTCCTCCCCCTCCTCAGTCCTGCATTAAAAAGACTTGGTCACATTAGTGACTGGCTGAGTCCAGTTTGCTGCAAACAATTTGATAGTGATAAAGGCTAATTATGAACACTGCCTTCGAAAGCTTAATGAAGAACAGAGAAGGCACAAGTTATTTGAATTAAAAAACAAAAAAGCGCAGCTAAAACTTCCAACTTACTGTGATTTTATCTGACCGGTTACAAGAAGTCGATAAATGTGGAAGGAGTACAGGAATAGCCATGCAAATACTGCTGACGTGCACAAGCTAATAACCGTGTTTCGTACAAGGCAAAATACCTGAAATGATGCGTAGGTGTTCTCAAGTGTGATAACATCATGTTGTGATTGTGTCCCCTCGATTGCCTAGAATTAAAATTAAACGGATGCGTGACTTTTTCAAGGAAAACTTGACAGAATGTTACATGTGATTTCCGAGCAAATCATATAAATTATCACAAATTTGATCTGAAAAATAATGTGTCTTGTCGTAAAGGACTTTCAACTTGAGAATCACAAAAGCTGGGCTGCTGAAGTTTTAGGGGATTGTCCCCTGCCTATGTGCGACCCAGAAAAATTAAATTCAGCCTTTCTGTGCCCGCGAGTAACATGCACAGCCTCGTGAAAGCTTTGGCGAGGAAAATTATTATCTTGAGAACCAGGAGAGCTGGGAAGCTGAAATTTTACGGTTATATCCCCTTCCCATGTGCAACCAAAACAATTTAAATTTAGCTTTCCCGTGCGCGTGAGTATCACGTACAACACTATGAGACTTTTGGTGGGAAAATTGCCCTGGGATGACAAGTTAAAGTAAGTATTCTGCTAGGCATAGGGTATTAGTTTGTTTCACGGATAGTTTTCGGAAAAGAGAACTACCAATACTTTCGCCAACTGGCCGTTGCTGGAGAAGCCTTTTCATTCGACTCGAGATGAAATGTGAAGTGAACATTGGAATTCAACATCATAATTTTGAAGAGCAATGAAAACTACGAGGTCGCACGGTAATGTGTTTTTGCGACAAGCTGTTGCGCGTGACTAGTGCATAAATATGCCACACTTATACACAGGCATATTTTGCTTCTGGAAGGTTCAGGGTTCCACACCGATAGCTGCATGGCTCAGGAATTAGAACATAGGAGCAGACAGAAAACCGCGTAGTTTACAAGCTGGTTTTGAGCCACACATCCTGTTTTATGAATTCAAATAAGGTAACAAAAACTCTAAATTTCTAATTCGTCCCAATCAGAATTTAGTGTCACTGTTAAGACGCATCAGGGGAGTCGGTGCGATCATGCGTTTTCGCACAATTTCGTGCTATAGCAAGATGCAAAGAATCACAGAAGTTAGAATTTATGACGTACTGGTTTTTAAAGTTCTGAACGTTAATTGTGCAGCTATGTGATGTGCCAGTTGTAGATGTCGGCTTCAGTGACCCGACAAACGGAAAATTGCTGGTGCGCGAAAAAGATCCCACGAGAAAAGTTGAGTTTGAAAACCTTTAGGCGCACATGAGTAGGAAACACTCCTTTAAAATCCCAGCTTTCTAGCTTTCCTCATTCCCGAGCTAGCAGTTTGCCCTCCAAAACTCTTACTTGTCCGCACGCGAGATTCAGGCCGTTCTAAGGAGATGAATTTGAAGTCTTCTGCTAGCACAGAAGTAGAAAACATTGCTAGCATTTCTTGATCTCAAATTAGCAATTTCCCCGCCAAAATTTTTATTTCTTCAAAAAAAATAACTGAGAATTTTTATTTTTCCGTATGTGCGTGACAGCCAGCATCACGTCCTTTGGGTCGAACTTGGCTAGGAAACACACTGGAAAAATTTCAGCATCAAAACTTGCGTGGTTGCTGAGTAAAAACACCTGAACAGATGAACATACACAGGGTAGTTGCAATATACATTTTGGTGTGCAGCGCGCTGCAATGCTGTAGCGCTATACCCCAAAAAATGCATAAAAATTGGTTGAATTTAAACATACAATTGTAAGTCAAAACATAGCTAGACCATATCAATTGTCTTGGTCCTCATATCGAGCTGTATACCTCAACACATCTTTACTGATGATAATAGCAGTACGGTTAGACAGGCAAATAAGTATACACAGGCGTGATTTCGGCATGATGCAATTTTTTCACCTAAGTTAATTTAAGAGCAAAAGCAAATAAAACTGTAATGCATATACAGCGCTCAGTTGAAGTCGATGAACCGAGAAGATGGCGAATGCATCAAACATAAAGGAAATGATAAAGCCAAAGCGTATCAGCTTTAACTGAATACACTGCCGATAGAGGGTACGGACTGCTGACAGCACTAGTAGAATAAGCGCGAATACCGCGCACAGCGGTCCAGCGTAAGGAATCGTTTTCGATGGAATGAAGCGGATCTGCAGAATTAATGAAACAGAAGTCATCTGAAGAGATATTCGTTCAATGGTCAAGCTTACAAACAAATTCCAAATTCCTATCAATTCTCAAGGAAAAACAAATCCAAACAAGTCACATACCAAAGCTCCGTGATCGGGTCGAATAAGAATGGTATAAATACCGGGTTTGTTGAAATCACAAATAGTATGATTACGACTCAATCTCATCAGCGCCGCGTTCTGCATAGACCATTCCAAAGGTGCACTGGACATCTCTGTCACACCCAGGTTTGACCAATTGCCAACACTTTTAGATAAATCCTCGGTATCTTTTGCATTTTCAGCAATAACACATTCTGGATAATTCCAGGCATCTACACTGCCCGGGAACAGAATCTGGGCAGTGCAAGCTGCGTTGAAATAAAAGGCGACGACAGGCGCTCTACCTTCAAATATTTGATTCCTTGCACTGACCATACTGTAAAATACAACTCTCCCTGGATGAGCTGGTATTTTATTACACTGGAGCTTAATCCGCAAATCGCGAAAGCTGCCTACACGTTTGTCGATAAAATTGTTAAATTTTGGCAAAATATTGCTTCCGAAGGAAGAAAGTTCGTCCACTGCGAACACTGAAAATAATACTGTAATAAATAATTCTGCAGGTGCTGCTCAAAAACTCACTGATGAAGAAGACAAACCAATCGAATTCATTTGTTCAGTCTCTCTCACTCTCTTCTCTCTACATTACCGTTATTGTCCAGAAATAGCTATACATGTCTGCGAACTGAGTGACAATAAGCTTGCTACAGCAGTAAACGCCCAACAGCAAGGCTGTTGACAATCTAGTCGGTGCGAAGATGGTTTTTTTGTATAGCTCACCGTGGTTTTTGTTGCTAACGACACTGTTTTTTCTGGCAAATACTTCTAGCTAAAAGCATTGAGACTGGCCAAAATGAGTGCCGGGAAATATTACAGTGACTCCTAATTCTTGCCAAGAAAATTCCAGCACTCCAGACATTCTGGTTGCAGAATTACGTCAAATTTCACGTGTGCGTACGTAAAGCGCACGTGAGACATGAATGGAACGTAAAAGTAAGTTTTTACATCCACCTAATCAAACGCTGCCGTCGGTTATGCTCTTGCTGCTTCAGTTCTGATTTTACAAAACTGCCTGCGTGAAATTTTCATGTGTTCGTACGTGAGATGCAGAGGAGCTGGAAAGCTCAATTTACTTTCACATTATTGGGCGACAAGCAGTATTGCAAAATTACAGCTCCCTACAACTTTCTGGTCGGATTAAATTTGGAGTTGGCACGATGCCGATTTAAACTTCGACGTACGCGTACGTAAGACCGAATGGTGCATGAAGGCTGAATTTGAATCTTTGGATTGAACGTGGCCAACGAATATCGTTGTGAAGTTTCAGCTTTTTAACTTGCGCCGTTCTAGCAATCACTCACGCGCTAAAAAAATTTTCACGTACTCGTATGTGAGGATCAAGGGGATGTGAGCGTCCATTTTGAGGATTGAGTCCCGCAAATGCATGAAGATTAAGTTGCCAAAGTTTCAGCCTTGCAGTTTTTGTAGATCTCGAGATGAAAACTCGATACAGACGCACACACAGATATACAGACACACACAGGCAATTCTTCGACAATACGCGTTTTTGCACCGCACAAACGCAAAAAAACGCATAAAAAGCATGAAACTCCCAGCGTCTAAAAGTAGCAGCTGAACTGGTAAAATTCAAAAGCATCATTCGATTTCTGTCAAAAGCTAAAAGGAAACTAACCAATATTTTGTCCGCAAAAAATAAATGGCTTCAAATATGGATGGACAGCATGTGTCTGCGCCAAATATATGCCATAATCATTGAGAAGTCGAATGAATGAATCAATATTCGGGTAGTACTTCAGTGTGAGCAAACTATCGGCAGCTTTTAATACATTATCCGTGTATTCAGCCGACCTGCATTTGGATGGCAGATTTGCCTTGGAGACCAAACAGGCAGACCACACACGCTGAAGGCGGAACAACAGCAACCGCGTGCATTACTGGCTTTAGTGGCATGTTTTCGCCCTGTACGATGGTCTACTGTTAGTAACAATTCCCATATCCATCTGTTTGAGGGCTCTTTGAGAACACATAAAAGGTTCTTTAGCAACCGAAAAAAGATGCGCAAACGTCACTTTACACAGGAGCTAATTACAAAAATAGATCTAATTTTCACTAGGGAAAAGATTGTCAAATGAAGAACTTATCTTCACGGTGGAAGCGGATGTGGGCAGATGGAGGAGGAACAGACATTATAGACGAGTACCGCTTAGGCACCACATAAAATCTTAAACGAAGATTTCTAAACAAATTTTATGCGAATGCTCCCTTACGAAAATATACAAAAAAAAAACTTCAAAAGTATTAATTTGTTAAGTGAAATTAATGCACTGAGTTTTGTGCATAGGAAGCGTAATTCGCAAATGGAAAATGCGAACCTTATATGACTGCTGTTTGTACTATAGCCACTAATTTCCCTTCGAACGAGTTGTCTCAGGATTTTTTGCGCGATTGGCACGTTGATGCCCTTTAAATGGTGAACAGTACTTGTCGCATTAGCAAAGTCCTTGGCCAACGTGATTTGATTCTCCACAACTTCCATTAACTGAATTTTTCAGATAGATCAAAAAAACTAACGGATTTTAAAAGCAGTAAGAAAACCACGATTTTACCGAAGAGAAAATTTCGACGCTGAAATAAGCAATAAAAAGCTTATTGTCAAAAATACTTGTTCTCAGACACTACCTGTTCACTTCTTTATGCTGATCTGCTATGGGCAACGATTTCCTTTGCACATCAAGTATAACGTTCTTGCCCACAACATCCGTAACTGCTCAAGAATAAGAGGGCATCCTCTAGCACGTGTCATATTTCGGCAACGTGTAATCAGTTTTCTTCCATAACTTTGCGTTCCGTATACCCAAGTTAACTACCCTTCTGATTTCTACCAGAATTCGGCATTGTTAACATATAAGCCGATTTGTTCAGCAAGAATGCAGCTTTATCAGTACCTTTTACTTCTTCAGAAATACCTATCATAGGGCATGAATGCGTATAGAATGTAAGTTTATTGCAGAACTTTTCAAGCTCACTGTTCCGTCGGGTGATGTGAAAGCATAAACCAGAATAACGATGTGGTATAAATTTAGTCCATATGGTTGAACTTGTAGTGAAAAAACATTCGCAAAGGGCAGTTTCTACTAATGACAAATCTAGTATTATTTTGCTCAGCTCAAGAGCTGCACACAGTCTTGTGGGTGCGTAGCACTGAGTTCTGCTTTTCTAGATACCAGTCGCATGATGTATTGTCGATTTATTAGAGATGACTGGTTATTTCATCTTTTTACAGCCATCTGAGGTTGTCTGCACATGCCCGTAATTCAAGGGTTAAGTGGGTCAACAGTTTCACTCGAGAGTTTTAAAACCCAGGCTGGAACGCACAAGGTGGATCCGCGTAATCATTCGTTGTTGCACCGGACTTGAAGTACTCAGGCCATTAACTGCATGAGTGGTTGTTGTTTTACATTTAACGGTCGTTCTTTAAAAGTAACCTAGCTGTTCACTGAGAAATTTTTCCGCTAAAACTTTTAAGTGTGCTTATGTAAGAACCACGCATACCTCAAGGCTGAATTTGAAATACTTAAGTTGCACTTGGACAGGAAACATTCCTGCAAAATTTCAGCCTTCCAGCTTTTTTGGTTGCCGACTTAACAATTCTCCCGCCAAATCTTCCATGTGCTCGTACATAAGAAACACGCGTACCTGTGAGCCGGGTTTGAAATATTTAAGTTGTACTTGGACAGGGGACATTCCCCTAAAATTTCAGCTTGCTAGCTTTCCTGGTTCCTGAGTTAGCAATTTTCCCACCAAAACTTTCATGCGCCTTTAAGTGAAGACCACGCACACCTAGGGACTGAATCTGATATTTTTCGCTGACACATGTATAGAGGATACCCCTTCAAAGTTTCAGCCCCTTACCTTTTCTGTTTTCCGAGGCCACTTTCTCGCCAAAAAATTTGCATATTTTTTTAAAGCGTCTGTACGCCGCACCCAGGCGTCCACGGGGATGATAATTAAAACGGGAGGATCGCGCACGGTATGAGCACATAATCCCAAAGTTTCAGTCTCCTGGCTTTTCTGGTTCTCGAGTTGAAAGTGGGTGAAAAAAGTGCCAACACATAGACACGCACACACACACACACACAGACACACACACAGCCTCCTTCCAATACGCGCTTTTGCAAACTGCATATATGCAAAAACGCATAAAAATTGTTAACCATTACAAAGCTAAACAGACCAATTTCTGCTGAAACAGGAAGTGTACCTTAGCGAAAGCTGGAAGTGTACAGTTGTAGCTGTTCACTTGATCCCAAAAAGCGTTTCTCAAACACTTCCTCAGCACCAAACCAATTTCGCCATTCGGACAGCTCTTCAAAATTTTTGAGAAATTATAACAGTACAAGCTGCCAAAATAATAAACTTTGATTAGCGAGCTTGAAACTAGCAGAGTGAATTCAATTTCCAATTCATTACCAATACGTAGCTTGAAACTAAGCATTCGACAAAACTGGAAGTAATGCTTGGGGCATTCTCACAAAAAACATATTTGCACCATCAGTGCTTGCTCATTGCGCTACGCAGAATGTCAGTGTTTTTTTTTTTTTTTTTCTGAAGGACCATTTCAGAAGCGAGCAGAAAAAAGTAAATGTTCTCTTTGACCGTCTTTTCAGAAAACAACGAGAAGTGGACTTCCTGAGGATGACTATGCTTAAAACTCGAAGACTAATTACTTGTTTAGCAGTAGCACCAGCAATTGTTGTTGGCCACTGCACGCCATATTCAATGTTGGATGGACATCTGTTTTTGATTTTCAAGCACTTCAGTGTCTGTCGGTCCAACACTTCATTCAAATTGGCGCATCGGTCGCACCGTCGGCCAACTGCTTCGCCAATACACCGGCATTGACCATTGGACAAACAGTCTGCACTCGACGAACCATAGCCACACTCGCACGGTACACACTCTACTTCCAAGAAATAAGTGCCACTCTGTAACATAATGCAGCTTCGAATGCGCGAGCAGCGCCAAAGGCACTTCTGTTTTGTTGCACCATGCTGATAAATTGTCCTTTAAAAATGCCAAACTACTATTTTACCAAGCAATATAATCAAAGTTTTGTATTCAGCGACATATCCAGGATTTGTCAAGAAAGCAAACCTCGAGTTTGATATCCTCTAACCAAAATCTTTTATTATTTTAAGTTTTTGAGTTGCATTATCATCCAGCGCAAAAACGCTTTAGTGGTAGATTTGGTATGCTTGCCCCTCTGCTCCTCTGTCTGATGAGACACATTAACTCTAGAACTATAGAAAGCAGAAAGCTGTAATTTGAAAGTACATTCTAATAACGAGGACTTGAGCTAGAAATCGGTACGTAGACTTTTTTCTGCCAACACATTTGGTATCAGGCTCATAATTTACTTAAAATCGTAACTCAAAAATATGTTCAACAAAAACTGCAGCTGAATGTAATCCACAGCACAGTATGAGACGAATAACTGAAACTAGTTTGCACAGCCCTCTACGCCCTGAATATGACAACAGATTCAAATTTGGCTGGAAAACTTAGCGGAACACAAACCCCAGCTGGAGCAGAAAATTATTACGAGATTTCTATATCTATCGCTTCCTGTCCTAGAATCCTATGATAGTGAATCGCAAAAAAATGACTACGCCCGCCTTTAGTTTTGTGCTGGTTTTTATTTAGCGAATTTGATACCCTCCTCCATAGGCTGAGTTTTGCTTTGGGTGCAATTTGGCACCTTCCAGAAAAAAATCTTTTCTCTTTGACTGCTTTTTTCAATTAAAATATTTGCTTTTTGACCGAAATTATCGAGCTCGTTTCACCAGACGCCGGTTTTCCTGTGCCTTTTGCTCAAAGCGATATTCAACTTAGTAAGGAGCAAACGCGTCATGACGACTTTAGCCAAAGCAAATTTTAATTATAGGCGCACTATTCTACCAGTACTACTGAAATTTGAATGACACTGAACGGCATCATTTTTCAAGCCTTCGGTATTACTGAACACCGTAGGAACTTAGCTGATCAGACTGCGTGAGAAAGCAATATAAAGAGTGAAATCAGTATGGAATGTAGAAACAACCCTGCAGTGGCATTTTCCCGTTTTGCCATCACAGTCTTCAAGGAAGCCTTTTTTTGCATCACAGAAGCACTTCTTACATTCTGGAAAAATACCAAACCATCCACGTGGGCAGATCTGCGCTGCTGCTTTACGCTCACAATTAAGACCAGT